CCCTCCCTCCCTTCCCCCCTGAAAATTTTAAACACATCCAGTGGGCTCCGCTACAGGGGTGGCTGCTGCGCGACCGATCGCTGGCGCCGGAGGCCAGCGATCAGAAATCACGCCCGCACGCGGTTTCCTCGTGTAAAAAAAAGCAACGCTGCGTTACGCAATTAGTCGTGGGTTCTTCGTAAATTTAAAATCAATTTAAAAATAAGTGTGAAAAAAATAAAAAATATATTACACTAAAAACTATTCATGTACATAGACTTTATATATATATATATATATATATATATATATATATATATATATATATATATATATATATATATATATATATATATACACACACACACACATATATACATTGCTAACTTTGTACATATAAACTATGTGTATATAAATATTTTATATAAAATATATTTAAATTTGAATTCAAATTTAAATCGAGTATATAAACTTTCATAGTATAAACTTTAACCGCACAAAAATTTTAGATGTGTAAACTTAAAATGTATAAACTTACTAAAATAGGAAATTAATACGGTGGCAAAAAAAAAAGAAAGCAACGTGGGAACTGGGAAGAGAGGCCCACCAACTGATCGCTTAAAATATATTAAAATTTGAATTCAAATTTAAATCGAGTATATAAATTTTCATAGTATAAACTTTATATATATAAACATATATAAACTTTAACAGTAAAAACTTTAGATGTGTAAACTTAAAATGTATAAACTTACTAAAATAGAAAAGCAATGCGGTGAAAAAAAAAGAAAGCAACGTGGGAACTGGAAAGAGAGGCCCACCAACCGATCGCTATCCACTCCCTCACGCGAGCAATCGCTCATTAGGATTCTCGCTCCGCTACTATACTACTATTTTATTATATACAAGTATTGGTTCCTGTCTTTTCCATTAAAAATGCTAGATGGCGGCCGGAAAGGCTAGTGGCTTGTAAGTTCAGTGATGTTGATCCAATGGGCTGCACCACGGTATCCTGCGTGAGGCTGGATTTTTTTTACATTTTAATCCTTTTTAAAAACTTACCTAAAAAAACTTATTTCAAGAATGGAATTTTTTTTCCGCCAATGACTCTAGTGTTTGGAAATCCTGTTGGGCGGGTGATCGCTCCCATCGATCACCCCCTTCCCCTCTCCTATAGTATATACTCCTCCCTCCTCTCCCCCCTTCCTCCTCCCCTTCTTCTCTTTCTACTACAGTACACCACACAAAATTTTTTAAAAAACAAAAGTTAGAAAAATCTATGTATAGAAATACTATATATAAAAAATTTGAATTCAAATTCAAATTTGAATTGGGCATGTAAACTTTTGACTTATAAACTTTGGATCTATAAACTTTAGGTGTATAAACTTTAGATGTATAGAAATACTATATATATATATATATATATATATATATATATATATATATATATATATAATATTTGAATTCAAATTTAAATTTGAATTTGAATATAATTCAAATTCAAATTTGAATCGGATATTTGAATTCAAATTCAAATTTAAATCGGATATAATTCAAATTGAAATTTGAATCGGATATATAAACTTTTAACTTATAAACTTTAGGTCTATAAACTTTAGGTCTATAAAACTTTAGGTGTATAAACTTTAGATGTATAGAAATACTATATATAAAAAAATATTTGAATTCAAATTCAAATTTGAATCGATATATAAACTTTTGACTTATAAACTTTGGGTCTCCAAACTTCAGATGTGTAAACTTGAGGTGTATAAACTTGAGGTGTATAAATTTACTAAAATAGAAAAGTAATACGGTGCCAAAAAAGGAAACGAAGGAGGGAGGGGGGAGGGGGGTAGCGAATCTGATCGCTACCCCCATTAGCGGGCGATCAATCGCCCATTAGGGCTCCCCTCTAGTGTTGGGGGCTTATTTTTATAAAACATTTACATTTTAACCCTTTTTAGAATTCTAGTTACATATGGGTCCTCGATGCTAGTGTCGTTTGTTAAGTTTTTCCAGAGATTTATTTGTAAAATAAATTTTTTAAAGGGCTAAAATATAAAAGAATTAGCTCCGGGAGATGACCAGTCTTCTCATAATTTTGCAAAGTACTCCCTTCGATAAGACATTTTTCCATAGTAACAAATCTTTTAGTTTAACCAAGTTTATAGAAAATTTAGAAATATCCACAGCACCAAATTAGTTTCATTGAATATATTTTGATAGTATGTCTCTTTTGTGTTGAAATGTTGATACATCTTTTTATAAACTTAAAATGTTTGACTAGAAAAAAGTCAAAGCATCTTATAACACTCTTTTGTGTCGAAAATGTTGCTGAATCTTTTATAAACTTAAAATGTTTGACTAGAAAAAAATCAAAGCGTCTTATAACATGAAACGGAAAGAAATACATACCCCAAAAGCCCATGTATGTAAAAAAGGAAAAAAACTCTTGGGAAACGGGGGAAAAACATTATTAATATATCATGATGCGCGTTTGATCAGTTTTATATTTCTATGGAATATCGTCTTGTTATATTTGTGGTATTTAAAAAAATTATGTAAGTTGGTTACCCATATCTAAAATCCTCGATATTCCACTAGACTTCATTCCATTTTCCCTATGATTTAGGATGTGTTCGTTCCACCTCGTTGGGAACATATCTCTTGCGCACGTAAAACGGAAACGGAGCAGTACATTAGCACGTGATTAATTTAGCATTAGTTTTTTTTTGAAAACTAGATCAGTATGATTTGTTAAAGCAACTTTCGTATAGAATTTTTTTTGCAAAAACACACCGTTTAGCTGTTTGAAAAGCGTGCGCGCGAAAAACGAGGGAGATGAGTTGAGAAAGTTTTGGAAAGAACTCAGCTTAGTCTCATTTCAGTTAGTAGTTCTTTAGTTTGTAAGCCCAGCTCAACAGAAAGTAATTAGAATGTTTAGTCTTTCAGGGACTAGTTGATTTAGAATTTTTCAGCCAATCGTAGTTGGTTATTTTGCACGCAGATTAAGGGAGACTATAAGCCCAGAAAAGCTGATGAAGTTTGCAGCGCAAAACCTCTGCCCCAGCTCTTCTTGTTCTGCTTTCATCTTTCGTCAGGTACTGTAGCTGTTCGACAACATTCACAACAGAGCTATGGTAGAAAGAGTGAGTTCAGGATTTAGGTGGTGTTTGGATCCAGGGACTTAACTTTAGTCCCTATATTTAGACACTAATTTAAAGTATTAAATATAGACTACTTACAAAACTAATTATATAAATGAAAACTAATTCGCGAGACAAATTTTTTAATCCTAGTTAATCCATAATTAGAGAATGTTTACTGTAGCATCACATAGACTAATAATAAATTAATTAGGCTCAATAGATTCGTCTTGCGAATTAGTCTAAGATTATAGATGGGTTTTATTAATAGTCTACGTTTAATATTTATAATTAGTGCCCAAACATCCGATGAGATAGGAATTTAAAAAGTTTTAGTCCCCTCTAAACAGGGTCTAAAGTCTGAAGGGCGATTTCGGACACACTACACAACTGTACCAGTACAAACATATATATATATATATATATATATATATATATATATATATATATATATATATATATATATATATATATATATATACACACACACACCAACGTGGATCTATGCATCATATGCATTTAGGGTACTTGCTCTAATAAGCTCCATACATGACAAAAAATAGCAATAGTGCGACTGGATGGACTCCAGATGCACAATATATCTTAATAGAAACTCTTTGCATTTAGCATAATAGATGTCACTGAGTGACATCTATTATGCTAGTGACATCTATTATGCTAAATGCAAAGAGTTTCTATTAAGATAGAGAGACTCCAGATGCTCAAGAGCAAGCAAGGTAAGATCAAGCTCGAGGACGTGGCCGGTTTGGTTGGTGCAGAAGTGCAGATGACGCTTTTCCACCGGCAGCAGCAGTCTGATTGCCTGGCTGTAGGTTGCCATCAAGCGAAGAAGTTACAAGTGTCATTGACGACGGCTTGCAGAGAAGCAGGCCAGGGTTGCCATGAGCAGCAAGAACTTGGCAGCTGTGCTATGGCTGCGTTATTTGGCTCTGTTTAGGGGAGCTTTAGATTCTGAGAAGCAGCTATTTGGTAGCCAGCTTTTAAAAATCTGGAAAAACTCTGAAACCCAGTTTCTCCAGCTTCTGGTTTCTTAGTTTATTTTTCAGAATCTGTAACTACAGATTCTCAGAAGCTGTGGACTGTTTGGGGCAGCTTCTAGCAGAAGCAGCTTTTGAGAAAAGCTGCAGCTGGGAGAAGCTCTCCCAAACAGGGCATTTGCTGGAGTTCCTAACTCCTCACCCTCGTTTTCCGCGCGCACGCTTTTTAAACTACTAAACGGTATGTTTTTTTTAAAAAAAAATACGAAAGTTGCTTAAAAAATGATGTTGATCTATTTTTTTAAAAAATAGCTAATAGTACTTAATCAATAACATGTTAATGCGAACATTGTTTTACGTGCCGGGAGGAGGAACACGACCTATCTATGGTGGTAGTGAGCTAGACTAAGATATCCATACTGTTCTTTTTTTTTCTTTCGTAGGAGGGTAAAAGCTTTGCCTCATATATATCTATTATTATATACTAAAAGTCCATAAAACTTTATACAAACACTCTCAAGCCGTCACGTGGTACCTCTACAATCGCTTCTAGACCGCCACGTGGCAATATCTAATCTCACCGTTGATTTTCATTTAAATCGGTGGACCCGATAATTTAGACCATTATATTAGATTAGTTGTATTTTGACACCCTAATAAATCAGAAAAAATCCTTAAAAACTAAACTCCCTTCGCCCAACCCTCCTGGCTGTCCCCACACGTGCCTACGTACGTAGCAGGTACGTTTGCCTCCATGTGCACAATCCAGTTCCTCCCCCATTCTCTATTTTTTTTTCTAATTAGATCAATATCATAATTTCTATTCTATTCTTTCTACTATTATTATTATTATTATTATATAAAAGTCTATTAAACTTCCTGCAAACGCTCTTATACCGCCACGTGGCGCTCTAAAAACACTCTCAAGCTGCCACATAGCACTGCAATAAAATAGATAAAATCTTAGAAATTCTGAGAAAAAAAACCTAACCCTCGATTTTTATTTAAGTTGGTAGACCATTAGTTTACACCGTTAGAATAGATCCATTATAAATAAATAGTAATCTATCCCTTCTAACTTACCATGTAATACTTACCTAAAAAATATTGGCAGAAATAAGCCAAGAAGGCATACGTGCGTACAGAGTTAACCACTACAAACGAGAAAAGAAGAAATGATATACAGCATAAAAGAAAAAAAAACATACTGCATATATACGTACTACGTACTACTGGAAAAAAAACATTGTTTTTCAAACTGGATTTTCACTTGCTCTGTATTTTTTATGACGGCGTTAAATATTTAGTTAAACTACCGAAAGAAAACAATGATTTAAATTAGATTTTCTATTATACTTTCTTTGGATTTTTTTTAATTTTAGTGAAGGTGGTAGTATAAGAAAAATATATTACTTCATAAAACATGCACACCCCAAAATAGATCTATAATATAATATAAAATATCAAATGAACGTATCATCTATACTAGCGTAAAAAAAGGAGGAGTTTTGCCTTCCAATCCTACAGGTGAAATCAAATCCAACGACCCGTGATCACCTTACAATCCAATGGCTCAGATCACTCCCCAACGTCCCACGCGGCCACGCAACGTCCCTTGCGAACTCTAGCGTCTTCCTCTCAAGCGCCGCCGCAGTCGTGTTGCCTCCTGATCATCCGCCGCCAGATCGCCGTCTTTGCTGTCCTCTTAGGTGCAGCCGCTGCGCACACCCACGGTGCGCACCTCCCTTCCCCGGTTCCCCAGCCCAGTGCTGCCCCCCTCCCTTCACCGTGCAAAACCCTAAGCGCCGCCACTACAAGCAGGTACCTTTGCCGCCAGGAGATCGCCCTCATGTCACCTCGCTGCCGTCTCACCAGATCATCGACGCACCGCCTCGCCATACCGGTCCGGCGTCGACTCTGCACACGCTTCAGGTCTACCACGACAACTCTTTCAAGGTAGTCCCAGCATATTGAAGGTAGTACCATTATGAACTTTCTCATGCCATGGCTAACTATCGGCCTATCATTGTAGCATTATATATATCTATATATGTTGGTGTTCACTTACAATTTCATGCCTCTTTGATAATCTTGGTAATATTCTGGTCATATCTCCACCTGCGCAAAATTTCCAAATCCTGATGGTCAATTGGTTACCATGCACTATATATGAATCGATATGGAATGATGCATGCTTTATTGTTGCAGTTAATTTCAACAGAGTAAAACGGAAGGAGTGATGGATTCTCTACGCCTTGCAAAGTTGCAAGTGCAATATGAAATGCTGGGGATACGACATTTCAGATTCATGCTTCAAGTGATCACCATATGCTGATAAGCTGAGAGTATGCTCAAATGATCAGCCAGACCTTCTCTTAGAGGTAATTCAATCATGGATACTTTCTATTTTTCTCTGCAAGTTCACTTGCAATATATTAGTAAGCAAATTATATATATTGCAAAGTATAGGAGCCATTGTCATTTTTGTTATATATGGCTTCCATCACCCCATTGATTACTGGCCAAGACATGGTATATGTTTTTTCCATGTAGATTGAGAGGGAAAATACATTGTGACTCATGATGTTTTTAAGGTCCAAATTAACATTTCAAATTATACTGTGGCTTCTGACCCTGTAGATCAAAATTATTGCAGTTGCATTATGCCATTAGATGATTTCAGAAATTCCTGAACATTGCATAATTCACTCAATTGACTTAACGTTGCCTCTGCTTTAGCTTGTCCATGCCATGCTTTGTTTGGATAGCTCCAAAGATATATTTGCTATTGATCAGAATCAAAATAAAACTCACAAAGTTTAGAGCTTGTATGATATATGGGAGTCCTTTGTTTATATCTCTCGAATGTTCACTCTGATATAATCATGCAAATTGGAGGGTATGTGTGTAAGCGCCAGTTCGATTATTGTATTTACCCAAAAATAATGATTGCTGTATACTTGCATATTAGGTTGTGCAATGCATACTCTTTCAGATGTTGTACTGCAACTGCACAAATCTTGATCTTTTTTTGTCCCTGTATTTTCACCAGGTTTCACTTGATGAGGAAATGAGTTTATAGATGTGTAGAGAATCTGAAAAAGATATTTGGGAAGAGATGGTAGGTGCATTTAAAACAATGGCAAGGAGCCAAGGAGGTAATTTCTGTCGTGCGTTATGAATTAGAATTAGCGATCTGTACTACTGTCTACACTGCAGGCACGTTTTCCATTTCTTGATGAGAATGTGATCAAAACGACTTTATTGGAAATACCAGGTTCAGAGGTTGCTTAACTTGATGAACCTATTGGAAAGGGTGACAAAGATTTCAGCAGGTTTTTACTTGTTTTGAGCTTAATCCATATGGGAACTGTTACAGTAAACTGAAATTCGCATTTGTAATTCACATGTAAACCATTGTCATGACAGTGAAACTACTGGCCATTTTGCTGGTATAGTGATATTAGGGCCATACATGAATTATAGTTCAGTCTTTTTTTATAAACTTTGGCGATGAAGTTTAGATCTCTTCCTGTTACTGTATTGAAGCTACAATCATTTCAAAAATTTTGGATCTCAATTCTTTTTCTGATGGTAGCAGTATACATGTCATTTTGCTGGTTTTTTTTTCTTTTTTTTTTTTTTGCTTTAAGGGGATCAGGGCAGGACAGAAGGAACACTATGACCATGTCCCCATGGCCCATGTCCATGTACGCATCAAGCTCCTAAGTGATAATCTGATTGCCTGCTGATCCCAGGCGCCGGTGGAATCAACCTTGACCCATCAATGATGGTCATCCCCCATTGACGATCACATGGTCCACAGAGATCATGGTGTCTTGGACACCATCATTATTTCTGACGGTTTAAGCTTTGTCTCCACAATTTTTTATCTCTGTATTTGCTTCTGATGGTTTATACTTCAGAGTTCGGAACTGAATGTTCATACTCTAGATGATCATGTACTTGAAATTTTGCACATTTGGTACTGAATCTGCACTAAAGTGGGTTTCTTGATTTGGTTAGGTACATTGTATAAGCTAGGTTCGCATTTTGTACAATTGATTAAAGAATATGGTTTGTCTATTTGCGTAGCTTCAAATGAATGATGTTTAACGCTATTCTGTCTGTAAATCTACAGAGCAATATATTTGATTGAATTTAGTTTAGCCTTTTCGTGCATTGCACGTGCATTGTTACTGGCCATCCATGGAATTAAATGTGTTGTAGAAACTGGCAAGTGTCAATTCAGAGTGACCATTTAGGATTCCATGGTGTGCATGCTTTCTTGTGGCATACTGGTCTTAGGAGTTCAAATAGAGTTTTAGTGCATAGATTAAAGTGAGATAAAAGTTTATGCCTGAATATATAATTTGGTCATCTTAATTCATTTTCAGGAATGTTAATATGTATTTATGTTTCCTTTTTTCTCATAAAATAAAACTCACCGCAGAGAATGTATGGAGCATAAATATGTTCTTTCTAACAGAAGTTTTGAGTACTTATTTTTGTGCAGCTTTCTTAAACTAGCTAGCCCTAGAATGATCCTGTTTGTTGAATCGGCTGTAAAGATGGAGGGCATCTAGGTAAAAGATGAAAAATTTATCAAATGCATCGTCTACTCTGATTGTATATTCGTAAACTATTGTCCTTTCTAGGGAGTAATTTGGGTAAATTCAGCTGAGGGAATAGGAAAATTCTCCATTTCCTTCAAATTATTATGTTTTACGGCAATGAGAAAATAAGATCAATTGTTATTCTCCTGTAAGAAATTAATTTGTTCTTCTGTAAGAAAAGAATGCTCCGATAGTTATTCTCTTTACTACTTACTATATCACTTCTAGCTGACAATCATTTAAATTTAGATCACAAATGTTTGTTTACGGAAGTAGCAGCAGCGCAATGTATGAATTTTAGTTGGCAATTTCGTACCTTTTGCGAATATTTTTTTTACCTTTGTTGGTCAGAAAATTGTAATTGAACACAAGATTTTATAGATTTCACTGACCAAATTGTCATCTTAGGATAACCTATAAAATTTTGTTCTCCATTCGTAATTGTTTGTTAGTTATATATTGCCAACATGTGCCTTGCACGTGCACGATAACTAGTTTCACACTACAATTGTTGAGTATAGATAGATTTTATTTGCATCAATGGGCCTACATTGATAGTTCAAGATGAAATAATGAGTAATTAAAAAAATTACTCAGGACATTTGTCATAAACACCTATAAAAAAATGTATTGTTTAAAAATATATCACATTTTTTTCTCGCAAAATAAAGTCAGGATTTTAGCCGTTAATGACTCAATCTATGCTTTTGATTTGTACATATTTTTTAAGTGTATAAGTAATAAATGTAAGGTTGATTTCTAAAGTACTTATTGGATTGGTCTCCGAACCATTAAACTGTTGGTGTTTTACAAATACTTTCTATACATATATATATATATATATATATATATATATATATATATATATATATATATATATATATATATATATATATATATATATATATATATATATATATATATATGTTTGTAATATTTAATACTTAATTAATCTTGCGTTGATGACCTACATCGTTTTTCATGCCTTGCCTAAGTTCAACCAATTAGATCGAATGTAGCCTAAGTAGGAGATAGATTAGATTATTTACTAAAAAATTTAAAATTAAAGAATCAAGTTAACTACATTATTAAAAGATTCTGCCTAAGCTCAACCAATTAGATCGAATGTAGCCTAAGTAGGAGATAAATTAGATTATTTACTATAAAATTTAAAATTAAAGAATCAAGTTAACTTCATTATTAAAAGATTCATTACTTTGGATCATATATATTTTACGGACTAGCTTTTGTTCACTAATTCATACATTTTTAAGAAAAAAGCAAATAAGTTTTGACGTCTTTCTCGCTATTTCTTAGATATTAAACTAAAATAGAAACAATCAATAATATTGGATTTTTTTTTAAGAAACACGACACGCGCACAGCCTGCTCCTTTGAGTACCTCTAAAAGACTGAGCCAACACATTTTGAGAATGACGATGTCACCACAGGCGTCTCGCTGTTGACGGGTACGCCACCTACCATTGAAAGAATATTTAGCCGTAAATGCGAGCACCCGTATCAAGTCTAGGACTTAAACCAGGTAGACAAGTTACACCACAAGAAACCTAACCAATTGATCTGTGCTCACTTCACAATAACATTGGATAATAAAACAACCATAATTTTTAAGCTACATAACTGGAATACTTTTATGCCTTTTAAACCGGTGAACAATTTGTTATAACTGTTAGATCTATCTTATATAAAAGTTAAGCATGTATTTATGGTACATGATATTTCCAAAATATTACTACGCAATTATATTTCGTCATTATCATATTCATATTAGGTTGCATGGAGCCTCTCACCCACCCTACATGAAATGTTCATAAATGGATCACCTCTCAAACTATATCAATCATATTAGCTTCTATAAACCCATACATTTAGTGGAGCTTCATGTCTCACCCAATTCATCTTTAATTGAACTGTTATAGATATGTAATTAAAAAACACCTTACTTTACTTTTGTTGACATGTTTTCAAAAAAAAAATATGTTTACCTTATTTTCAAATGATAAAGAAGATTATAAATAATTGCTTATAGATATTACTTAAATATGATATAATATAAAACTAATAGGTTACTAACTTAGCAATTAATGCTGATGAAAATAATTTATGTACAAATCATGGCAGATGTTTTCCGTTTAATATTTCGCTCTTATACTTATCTCAAACTTAGCATAGGACGCATGCCCGCGCATTCGCGCGGGCTACCTTCCTAGTTGATAGAACAAACATCGTCCTCCCATTTTTGCGTGCGGGCATCTTAAGAGCACTACGCGCGAAAATACTCTCCCTTCTTTTACCCTCTCAACACTTCAAAAATTTCATCCTCATATCCTCCCTCAACCTCTCTCACCTCCTTATCCTTATCCTCACCTCCAACTGTCTCTCCTCTCTCACGTGGCAGTAGGCGGGTGGCTCGGCAGCGGGCGATGGCGGGAGGAGTGGGGCCCCGCCGCCGACAACGACGACGAGGTGACCGGGAGCGGCGCCGTTGGCCCCGCGAATCCGCGCCGCCCCCGCCGACGAGGACGAGGAGGTGGCCGGAGCAGAGGCGAACGGCGGCCATCGAGCTACAGCGGCAACTAGGGTTTCGATTTTTTCGCAATTTTTATTTTCTTTTATGGTTTTTTATTTTCGCGTGCGGGTGACATAAGCACCAGCATGCCAAAAAAGAAGTCTGAATACCTGATGGATAATTTGCCCGCAACTATAACTATTTTCTCTCTTGCCCAGGCTTTCATTCTTTACACATAGAACATTATCGTTGTGTCCTACTCCGAACTATGTCATGCTCGTGCAACAACGAGTCAGACCAGATGCTACAGTAAAATCGATCTATTAATTGCGTTGATCCGCTGTGCTACTCGCATGAACAGTGACTGATCCGTGGGTTGCCATGCTGAAAGCTCTATCCAGCTTCCAAGCAGCCTTGATATTTTTTTCGTTCTAAAATTTAGCTATTTTTGGAGTTCAAATTTATTCAAAATATAACTATTTTCTTTACCTGTTTGGCTATTTCTTTATCTCAACCAATCACATCGTTATTTATTTAATTTTTTATCTACTTTCTTTTTTAACCGACCATGGTTTTTTACCAGTCAATTCCACCTATTTTTCAGTTCATCTGAAAATCTCTAAAAACAAAATATTTATATTTTGAAACAGATGAAGTAGGATCATTGTTTTGCCAAAAGCAAGCCGTATCAAGGACACGCACACTGTAGTGCAGCAATGGCCATAAATAGATATGCCAGCAAAGCCCATATACCATCAAAAGAAACATTCATTTGACATTTCTTAGTACAACAATATGCAAATATCCTGAACAGTCTCCAAGGCTTAGTTCTTTCCTCCACTTTCCCAACTTCTACCTCTTGATTTTCACACGCACGCTTTTAAAACTACCAAACGGTATGTTTTTTTAAAAAAATATTCTATAAGAAAATTGCTTTAAAAAATATTAACTTATTTTTCAATTTTTAGCTAATACTTAACTAATCATATCCAAATCCACCGCTTTGTTTTGCGTGTTCTCATTGGACCTTACAAGTGCAATTCTAAAAGAGCCCAAAACTCACAATAACAAAGGCTGCAACCATCTGTGCCCACCTTCTGAAGGCATATCTCCTTTTTTTTCCCCGATAAATTTATTTAAGAGAGTTCATCTTCATGGACACAAATACAATAACAATAACATGTTTAAGTTACACTCTCTTCATATACTTTCCCTAAGGAATTATGATTGCCAGTCTTGACAATACAACATCAGGTTGGATTGCATACACACACTATATAAGATATTCCAGCCATGCCATCGCCCATCGACCCCTTCATTTATCACCATATGCCATGCTCATGCACGCCTCGTGGAGTGAAGATGACGACAGTACTCTCCAAGAGCCCAGATAGGGAATAAGTTGCGGTAGTTGGGGTAATTAAAGAAGAGGCATGCATTGAAGGCTCCAACATGTTCCTAATTAAGAGCAGGTACAATAGCATGCTATAAACTAGTTGCAAACATATTTTAAAAAGATAAATAAGGAGAGAGATGGACAGCGGGCTACAGATTTGTAGCCAGCTGTAGCACGGACTCTAAGACACAGTGTGTGTATGACAGATGGGACCATGTATTAATAGTGTAGTATGTAACTATTGAATGAATGAGCTATTAAATTAGCTATAGATGAATTGGAGCTGGTAGTTAGCTACACTATTAAACTTGCTCTAACATCAGCAGCACAAGCAACACAAGAGATAAACCTTTAATGGTCATATACCAACATTATCTAAAGTTCCAAACACATGTAACGCTGAAACATCTTAGTTCAGAGCACCCTAGGAGTTTGGTGATTTAATTAGGTACGTTCTTTTTCAAGTCTCCAGAGCAACCACTTGAACATGGGATTGTATGTCCTAAAATCCTTGCACAGAAGGTACCATATGGTTGTTCATTTCCTAACTACAGCCAAACAAAATAATCTCATAGAAGCCCTATATTTGTCTAATGTGAATGTTTGCCACCCTAATGTGGCTCTGCTCGCTAATGGAGGTTCCCAATCGGAACAGTATGCACGGAAAACGGAGCGGTCTATTAGCACGTGATTAATTAAGTTTTAGCTATTTTTTTTCAAAAAGGATCAATATGACTTTTTTTAAGTAACTTTTGTAGAAAAACTTTTTTTACAAAAAAACACACCGTTTAGCAGTTTAGGAAGCGTGCGCGCAAAAAACAAGGCAAAGAGAGTTGGGAATGAGCACTTACGAACAGAGGCTATGTATGGTGGCTTGGGGATTCTTAGTTTGGAATATACGTGTTGGGCTCTTAGGAGGTGTTTGGATCCAGGGACTAAACTTTAGTCCCTGTCATATCTAATATTTAGCCACTAATTTGGTCAGATAAATGGTTGCAGGGTAGGGCCACTTCAGAGTTCGCCCCTAGCTTGTTCAAGTTGATTGCTAAGAAGGTTGTAAAACGACATACAGTGGCTCAAGCATTGGATAGTCAAACATGGATCACATATATAAAAGGAGTTCATTATGCAGGTGATTAGGGACTATCTTCCGATCTGGGATTTATTGTGCTTGGGGTAAACTTGCAACAACATGATCCACTGGATCAGCACCGTTGGAGGTCATCAGGATTTCGTTTATACTCTAGCAAATCAGCATATGAGATTCTCTTTGTCAGGGACTATCAGATTAATTTGCTCCATAGAGGAGGATTTGGAAAAGTTGTCACCCCTGAAGTGCAAACTTCGTCTGTGGTTCACGGTAAACAATCGCCGTTGGACGGGCAATCGCCTGTCCAAGCGAGGATTGCCACACCCGGCTGCCTGCCCTTTTTGTGATCAAGCTGAGGAGATTGTGCAACTTATTTTGTCACTTGCATTTTTAGCCAGCGGGTGTGGTCATTGGTCCTTCACAGATTAGGTTTCATTGGCCTCACGGCTCACGCCAACCCATGACACACGCCATTTCTCAAGCTGGTGGTCTATGCCAGTGAAAGACACCCACAAAGAAAGAAAAAAAGAAAGAAAGAAAGGGCTAAACTCGCTTATAATTTTGGTGGCATGGGAAATTTGAAAACACAAGAATGGTTGTGTTTTCAATGGTTCAATTCCAAATATGTCAAATGAGGCTTCAATAAGTAGCATATGAAGGCGCTCTTTGGTGCTTAGCAGGAGCTTTTAAGCTCTAAGAGGTGTTGGCTAGGTCGATAGCCCTTGCGGCTTTAAGTGGACTTGTTTAGTGTCTTTTAGTTTTTTAATGTGTGTTAGTGTTTAGGGTCGGGAGTTTCCGGACTCCCCTCCCTGTGTGTAAATTCTTCTTTCTTATTAATGAAATGTTGTGTATATCTTCCGTGTGTTAAAAAAAAGGTCCTGCTCCAGGGAGCCCTAATCAGAGAAAGGGGATGAGAGAACAAAGAAGATGGGAAATATCTATCAGATTCCCAAAACCAAATTGAATCCCTAACTTTAAATAGCTCGATTGTACAGAGCTGGCCAACCTCCTAACAAACAAAATTTATCTCTAAACACAAGTATAATGTAAAGTTTGATCGATGTAGCCATCCCATGTATTGACCATAGTTAATATCAGAGAAGGGGGATCATGTTCTGCGCGTACGCGCCGGCAAAGGAGGCGGCACGCACTTTGGAGGCCCTAATAGCGCTTAGCGCTTTGCTAATGGCGCTTAGCGTAGTTTTTTTTCTGGTTTTTCTTTTTGGATAAAAATTTGCCATGCATCTGTTTCTTCCCTTTGTTTAGTTGACTAAAACAAACTTCCAACTCATATTTATTCCGGATTTAAAAACTTTCAAGTCTAGATTTGAACTCAGATTAAAAAATTTTCAAGTCAAGATTTGAATATTTTCAACTTAAAATTTAAAATTATCAATCAGATTTTGAAACTTTCAAAATCATGATTTGAAAATTTTCAAGTCAGATTTGAAAAAATTCAGGTCAAGATTTGAAAACTTTCAACTCGAATTTAAAAACTTTCAACTAAAGATTTTGAAAACTTTCAACTCAGATTTAAAAACTTTCATCTCAAATTCAAAAATATTCAACTTAAAATTTGAAAACTTTCATCTCAAATCTTAAAAACTTTCAACTATTTAAGTCAAGATTTGAAAACTTTCAAGTCAAATTTAAAACTTTCATCTCAGACTAAAAAATGTTTAACTCAAATTTGAAAACTTTCATCTCAAAACTTAAAAACTTTCAACTCAAATCTTAAAAATTTTCAGCTCAAATTCAAAATTTTCAGAAAAAAATAAAGATGAAAGATTCAATTTCTAAAATAAAAAAGAGAAAAAATCGGCACAAAATATTTACGGCCTCCCACGACGGAAAAAAATAGAAAAAGGAAAAAAAAAGGGAAGAGATGGCTACGCGATGGCGTGGGTCTTACATGGGCCAGGAATGTGCGCCGCTTACGCTAATAGCGCGTACGTGCTAATTAGCAATCGCGTCAGAGAAGCTGGGTGAATTAAACCCCATTCATGCCATATGATACATCGTATATATATCTTTAAATTTTTATTCTGTCCTTCATTCCATAAAATTATTGCTCAGACTAAAATGAACTCAGTTCTCCACGAACGATACAAAACATAACCCCAGAATCCCAGCAAAACTTAAATGCGAACTTACTTGTTGGGGGAACTCTCCTGTTTCCAACTGCATATTGATTAATTCTTTTGCAGCACGATGCAGTGGTGCTGGATCCCGCTCCATCTGACATCCAAATGGTTATAGAGATCATTCGATAAAAAGGTCATTCCTATCAGAATTGAATTGAAAATAAACAAAACACACCTGTCCTGCACAAATTAAAGCTAACATTGCCCAGGCAGTATTCACTGCATGAGCTTGATCATCTTTAATGTTTACGTAAACCTGTTTGGTATCATAAAAAATAAAAATCAGTGACGAAATCTTCCAAATGGATTTATAAAAATTTGCACCAGTCCAACTTCTTCCCTCATAAGATTTCTTCCAAATGGAAGCAACTCTTGTTGCAAATGAAAAGGAATAACTCCAACATGCACAACAGATCAAATGGATGAGCTTGTCTATGTTCAAGCCCCAAACTCAGCAGGGTGCTTAGGCTATATTCTTCCTCCTCATTTCCCAACTCACCTCTCTTTTTTCACGCGCACATTTTTCAAACTGCTAAACGGTGTATCTTTTTGCAATAGTTTTATATACGAAAGTTACTTTAAAAAATCATATTAATCTATTTTTTTAAAAAAATAGTTAATATTTAATTAATTATACGCTAATAAGCCACTAGGGTTGTGAGTGTTCGCTCCACAATACCTTCCGTAAAGGCCAGGAGTACTCCTTTAAAAAACTATGGTAATCAACCCACCGCTATGTATCCTATATGCCAATTATCATAAAACTTGCAACAAAACGAGCAATATATGTTTATTCAACCACAAAAATTCAAAAGGAATGATCTAGCGAGCTAGAGATTAAAAAAAAAAAACCTACCTTAGTAATATTAGAGACATAACTTTCTCCCCACCCACCAGTATCGAGCTGCTTTGATAATATAAAGTCGCATGCTTTCCTGATGGAAGAACTATTCTCATATGTTCTTCCAGCAGCAATTAACCCTTTTACTGAAAGAAAGGCCCCATAGGTGAAACACACACCCCAAGTGCCTAGCCTGCCAAATAACCAAGTTATTGTGTTACAAATTGTTAAAATAGAAGAGAAAAATTATCCAAAGACAGAAAGTCAGTATATGTGGTGCTCTTGTTACAAACCATGAACCATCTTCGCCTTGTGTGCTCTCAATAAACATCGCTGCGTTTCTGACACATTTTTCTATCTCTTTAATACGGTAACTAGGGTGTAGTTGTTTGAACAGCACCAGAGCTTGAAGCACAGAGGAGGTGCATTCTGGAAATCTGCCAATTCATATGGTATAAAGTGATCAGTTACGCCAGGAGTTATTTCTACAAAGGGAAAAGGGTGTTAATTATTAGGATTTTCTAAGCACAATGATGCGCTCAGCACTTACGGATAATCAACCACTATGTTTGGAAAACTCTCACAAGGACTGAGAACCTAGGTTATATAAAAAAAACATGTCAGGACTACAAATCGCATGGCCATAAGAAACATACTGGTGATTGACTAGTTCTTCAATATAAGTGTACTGAAACATACAAGATGTGCTGAATAAGTTTCACAAATTTGAAGTGCATGAATCATGCTGGTGTTATTTTAACATCATAAATTAGATTGATCGTGTCATGATGTAGGCACAGGCATGGAGTTTTCGTGATGTTATTTATAAAGTTGTTGCTGGTGTTATTTATAAAGCATATCAATCAGGGCATTAGTGTGCAGAAACTCACCTCTATCCAAGTATAAGTTCTTTTACATTCATATGTAGAAAGGGTACCATCTTTGTTCTGCAAGGAGAAATGAACACATTAACCAGATGATTTTCACATATTAAAACCATGGCAGCGAGAGAGAAGGGAACTATATGCATGGCAGAGTTACAATCACCATTTTTAGGATTTTTGACATTTTGGTTACATAAAGTTGGCAACAAGTTGCGTAGGTTATGAGCTTGGATTTTTTTTAAACGGAAAACAGCACGAGAATGCCTTTTCATTGAATAGAGCAGGAGAAAATACAACCCCTAAGGGTAAAGCGAAAAAAGAGAGAGGTCACCGTAAGCTATACAAAATGCGGGACGAACTCGCGCAATCGTTTAGCCCCTGCTAGAGCCCAAAGGCTAGCCTCTTCTTTGATTTTCGTTAGGAGGAAGCTCGTTGCCACCTATTTGTGGTCGAAAATCCGCCGATTTCTCTCTTTCCAAATTTTCCAGACAATTAGCAGGATGAGGGATTGAAGTCCCTTTTTTGGGACATTGGGCATATTTGCTAGGTTCTCCTACCGCTGTTGGACTGACTGGGCTTCCTCCCATTGGGCCGGCTCCATTTGCTGATAGCCCACCCATCTAGCAACGAAATGCCAAATCCTCTTGGTGTATCTACACGTGGCGATAAGATACAAGGCCGTCTCAACTTCACAACGGCAGAGAGGGCATTGGCCGTTGTTTTGCCAACCCCTGATCGCAAGCCGGTTGGATGTCCAGACTCTATTCTGGATGATGAGCCAAGTATGGAATTTGCATTTCCCTGGTGCCCAAACTTTCCAAATCAAGGAATTGAGACTTGGGCTAGGCGCCCCACAGCACTGCACGCATGGTAGGCCGAGGAGGCCATGTAACGCCCGTTACTTGTGAATTTCCAAGCAGTCTGGTCCGGTTCTTCATTGTCTAAGTGCACATTCTGAACCGCTTCCCACAGGGTAACTAGCTAGTCAACGAGGTTGACTATGATAGGTGAGTTTGCTTCGAGGGTCAGATCTTGTACCCAGGCATCATCCTCCTTTTCTTGGCGTAGGGACTTTCCTTTGTTTTTGGAAATCGCGTAGACCAGCGGCATGAGGTCTTTTGGTCTGCGCCCATCGATCCATGCAGAGTCCTAGAAGCGTGTCGTGTTCTCATCACCGACAGTTATTTTTGTTGATGCGGCGAAGAGATCCCTGTCAATTTCGTTGCAAGGCATCTCCAATCCCACCCACGGTTTTGTCGGGTCTTTCCATTCATGCCACAATCATCGCAGCCTTAATCCCCTTGTGAATTTGGTTTAGAACTCCCAGGCTGGTAAGGTCAATTGGAGCTTGGATTTGGGTTTCACAGCTGCACTCATACTGAGTTCCAGAAAAGGCTATTAGCATATCACACCCCATTGTTTGGTGTGTAAGATTCTTTTAACCTATCTTCGCTTAGTACAACTAATAACAGTAAACAAAACCATAATTTTTCACATAATAATGAATTGGGGCTAGTCTGCAAGGAAACTACAAGATCATGTTTAATAGCTGTGCTTAAATAATTCCATACCACGAAAGATAGGAGGCAATCAACAGCATCATGCAGCCTTTCTATTTCAATTGGATCCCCGACCACGTTGCTAGAGATCTTTTCCAGTAACAGTACAGCCTGGAAATGAGATTATGTAAGATTTCAAGAGTAGACAAAATAAAAATTTATGCAGAACTGGCAACAGATCGTGATCAATTTTTTGTATAAGCATGAGCTTCTTGGGTGTGCTATCACTGATTAAGACTAGGTTAATACGATAGTACAACCTCCGTCCCAAAATATAACAACTTTTAACCATTAGGATTTGTTCTAAAATATAACAACTTCTCCACCAACATTCTTTTCCCAACCAATCACAACACTCCACCATTCACTTTTCCCACCTATCTCCACTATTCATCCAATTACAACCCTCCACCATTCACTTCTACCTACTTTCTTAATAACTGTGTCCAACTCTAAAACTTTTTATATTCTAGGATGGAGGGAGTAGTACTTATTTGACCGTTTCAAGGATTAATTAATTATTTGCCTCCCTTGTTTCAATGGTGCATTAGTAAAAAAAAAAAGAAGAAGAAGAAAGAACATAATGACCTTCAGCGCTTCTGCTGTAGTGTCAGACACAGCCCATCCATTGTCTGCTGACGAAAGAGTCCATGAACCCTTTGATCTATGGCGATGCCAGTAACTTTGGTCACCAGGATGATTCCTCATAATCTTCAAGAAAGAACATGCAATTTATGTTGGATCACCTTATGCACTAGTTAATTTATAAATTTAAATTATTAAAGTATAGACTCTGAACCTGTGAATTTTTCATGAACTCGTGGGCTCTCCTAACAGTTGAACCATACTCATTTACAAGATCAGTAGCACAAAACGCTTGAATTATAAATGCTGTTTCCCAGCTCTGGCAACCATCATATATCTATCATTCAGATAAAAATCTGTCACAGTTTTTTTCTGTTTCCTCATTAGATAAAACTAGGAAGCTAGCCCACGCATCTGTGCGGACATGTATCAAATACTGTGTCTGTGTAGGAAACATATATATAATGGCAGAATATCAACCGGATAACACCTACAGCACTTCAAAATAATTATTTCTCCATAAATTTTCTTCATCAACATTGCTGGTATAAATTGTCAAGTTGTTTGTTAGCTTTAAACTATCCAGTATTTACTTCATACCTATAAGAAATTAATTATAATATTTTTCATTATCTTGAAAGGAGGTTGACTTAGTTTGTTTAAAACAAATGTCTAACAAATTAAGTGCAAATTTAAAATAAGGTGCTTTTCCTTTTAAGTTGAATGTTTAGATGCTCTATTTTGTAACAAATCCTAAAAAATTATTATCAATAAATGTGTTTTATTTATACCATAGAGCTGCCCCTCCTTCTAATTGGTTCATATACTCACGTAATTTTTACATTTATATATATATATATATATATATATGTGTGTGTGTGTGTGAGTGAATAAAGAAAAGAGATCAACATACCTTGTTTTTTTATATACTTAATTTGTAGTTTTTATTTAAAGTCCTAAAATATAAATACAATAGTAATAAATATAACTTTTAAATTAACCAACTACTTATTGTCTTAATTTGGATTATATATGTAATAATATGTGGAGAAATTCATAATGCGACGGTATATGGTATAGAATAGATTGAAGGATATTAGTATGCAAACACTTAAAAAATGGTGATGGCTAGAATAGGCAATGTTTGTTCCAATTAAAGTGAAAAGTAAAAACTTTTTTTATGGTATTTTCTCCAATTAGGTAATTGACCAAAAATGAAAAAAAAACACACACACTTCCACTTCCATCCCTGTCGCCGACGGTGATCAAAGCCATTCAAGCCACCACCGTTTTGTCTCCAAGTCCAGCAGCAAGAATGACGTCGTTACGCTGCAGCAGCGCACGTGTGCTCACTGTCACCTCCGAGCGCAATGGCGGCCATCGATTGCCGCCCGCCGCCGTCCAAGCCCATCATTACGCGCCTCGGCAAGGACGCCGCCACCTCTAGGGATGTAAGCGGGGCGGATAAGCGGTTTTTTTAGCCCGCTTATCTCACTTCTGGTTTATTTTTTCTTTAAGTTTTTTTACTACCATGTGAAAATTGAACTAGCAAGCGGGTTTTATGCGGGTAGCGAGACTATCCACTTGCATCCCTAGCCACCTCGCTGTACACCATCTCGGTCAGCGGCGGCAGTGCGCCGCTCATCGTCAACCTTGCCGGCCAGCTGCTCTGGTCGACGTGCCTGTCAGCGCACCGCATCATCCCCTACAGCTCCAACGTATATAAGGTCGCGGATCAGACCGGAGCCGGGTTTTAATCTCAACCAAATCAACGGCTTGGAATATTGGATCCACTGAGTTAAATAAAAATTAAGGGATGGATTTTATTAACGCCACATGTCAGTTTGAGAGTGTTTTGAGGATTGCCACATGGCAGCGTTATATCGTTTTAAGAAAGTTTAATGGACTTTTAGTATAGGAAAATGTACGAATTACCCCCGTATCAATCGCGGTCGTCCGAATTACCCCCCTGAACCACAAAACCGGATATTCTTCACCCCCAACTATATAAACCGGACGAATTACCCCCCTCGACCACATCCGAGGTGGTTTTGCTCTACGTGACATACGCGTGGCAGTCCAGTCAGCATTCTATATATATATAAAATGTGGGACCCACCTGTCATACGCTCACTCTCTCTCACTCTTCCTCTCTCTCTTCTGTCTCTCACTCTCGTCACTCTTCCTCTCTCTCTCACGGTCAAAGGCAGGCGGGAGCAGCGGCTGAGGGCGGCGGGCGGCGGAGGCGACACCGGCGGCGGGCGGCGGGCGGGGGCGGAGGCGGCTGGGGGCGGCGGGAGCGGAGGCGAGGCCGTAGGCGGGCGCCGAGGCCATGGCTGGCGGGCGTGGAGGCGAGGCCAGCGGTGGGCGGCGGGCAACGGGCGGAGGCGGCTAGGGGCGACAGGCGCGGAGCCGAGGCCGGAGGCGGGCGCCGAGGCCGCGGCTGGCAGGCGCGGAGGCGAGGCCTGCGGTGGGCGGCGGGCGGTTGGCGGCGGGCAGGGGTGGAGGCGGAGGCGGGTGGCGGGCGCGGAGGCGGCGGCGGGCGGCGGGCGTGGAGGCGGCTGCGGGTGGCGGGCGAGGCGCGGAGGCCTGCGGCGTAAGGGAGCGCGCGGGGCGGGCGGTGGACGGCGGACGCCGTCGCGCGGGGGCGCGGGACGCGGAGGTGGGAGTGGCCGCGAAATGGTGCTCGACGGCGCGCGCAATGGTGCTCGACGCGGAGGTGAGAATGTCCGAATGTGGTCACCGCCGGCAGCGAAATGGTGCTCGACGGCGTGCGCATCACGAAGCTCTGTGTGTCCTACCATGCCGACCCCGGCGGCAATGGAGACGGTGCGGCACGGCGACGACGGCTCGTCCCTTCGCCGACGAGGAGCTGCCGGCGACCTCGGATGGCTCCACCGCGCAGGACCACGACGACGACGACGCTGGAGCCGCCGCGGGCTGCCGTGCTTGCCGAGAGAGGGAGAGAGAGAGGGGAAGAGGGGGGAGAGAGAGTGTGTATATGACAAGTGGGCCCCACTATGTTTTAAAAATAAAAATGCTGACTGGACTGCCACGCGTACGCCACGTAGACCAAAACCACCACGAATTGGATCGAGGGGGGTAATTCGTCCAGTTTGTATAGCTAGGGGTGAAGAATGTCCGGTTTTGTGGTTAGGGGGGTAATTCGGACGACCGTGATAGTTCGGGGGGGTAATTCGTACTTTTTCTTTTAGTATATAATAGATAGATAGATAGATAACAACACTAGATTGTACTTTAGCCGCTAAAATATTTGACATTGGCAGTATTAGGATTAGTACTCCCAATGTCAATTATTATTTACTAGAGGGAGTAATAGGATTATAGGACAATTTAATTTTTCTAGATGAAACATATTTTTCCAACTTAGAGTAGTACCAGCAGGAAACAGATTGATCATGTTAGCCTCACTTCCACACGGAATTAGTCCCTTAATTATGCATAAAAGATGCAAAAGTTAATAATAACCTGTGCCTTCATGCCATCTTCTGAAAGCCACAGGAAATCAGGTATCCTTGCAAGATGCCGCTTGAATGAATCTGAATTTGGATCTTCCACCCAGCAGCAGACCATGTTAAGAGCCTGTGTATTGTTAAGGACAGAAGAAGTATGACATACCCTTGGCTGGGAATCAAAACTAACAATCAATTATAATGACATTTGCCACATAATGCATAGATCATAAAGGGGAAATATTCCAGCCACATACATATATACTCCCTCCATTCTAATATATAAGATGTATTAGCTTTTTTACATGCTCTCTAGCATTATACTTCAAAGAGTAAAATACACCAGCGGTCCTTAAACTTGTCGGGAGGTTTCACTTAAGTCCACGAACTTCCAAAGTGCACGTCGAGGTCCCTAAACTTGGTTTATGGTATCATCCCGGTCCAAAACCGCGTTTGACCGTGAGCTTGTCTACGTGGCACGCCACATGGACGATGACATGGAATTTTTTCTCCCTTTTTTTCTCCCTTGTTTTTTGGACCCGCCGACCGTCTCCACGTGCCCCAGCCTAGCCCCCCACCCCCGCCGCCGCCGCCAACGACGACGACGAAGCCCGAGAGCCTACCTGTGGAGATGGACTCCGAGCCCGAGCTCAATGCGCTACCTCTGCCTCCACTTCTTGCCCTGCCAGAGCCGCAAGCAAACGGTACAGCGAGGCCGTGGAACCTGCGGCAACGGACGCGGCGGTGCCCAGCCGCCTCCATATCATGGGCGGCGGCGGTGCCCGTGCCGTCCTCGTACCGACGCCGGAAGCGCGCGCCGTTCTTGGTGGCGCTCACCCCGGAGGAGATCGAGGAGGACATCTATGCGCCGTCGTCCCCCTCCCTCCCGTCAGCGCCACTATCCTCCCCAAGTCGCCGCCGTCCCCCTCCCTCCCGTCAGCGCCGCTGTCCTCCCTCCCGTTGTGCGCTCGCCTCCGGCACGGCGGCTCGGCGAGTGGAGCGGAGGCTGATGGAGAAGGAGATGGAGGCGTGGCTGTGGAGCTCACGGTACAGCGGCCGCCAGAGAGAAAAAAAAAGAAGGGAGAAAAAAGAAGAAGAGAGAGAAAAAGAAGGAAGGAGGGAGAAAAAAATAAAAAATTTCATGTCATCATCCACGTGGCGTGCCACGTAGGCAAGACCACGGTCAAACGAGACTTTGGACCGAGATGATACAATAAACCAAGTTTAGAGACCTCGATGTGCGTTTTATAAGTTCGTGGACCTAAGTGTAACTTGACAATAAGTTTAAGGACCGCTGTTGTATTTTACTCTACTTTAAATATCATTGATTTCTTTCATAATATATTATAAAAAACTACAAAATTAACATCATATATATGAAAGTATTTTTCAAATACGAAGAATATAGTGATATTACATGCATAATACTTAAAAACACATAATTTTGTTAGTTCAATCATTAGTCAGAATTTTCTAATGTTGTTTTTTTTGTTTTTTTTTTTTTTTGCCCTGAAAGCAAGGTCGGTCGCCTATATTTCAAATTTACCTTGTTGACAGGACATAGGCAGAGGTACTGTGAGTTTTCATCTTCGTAATGGATATGCTCCATGAGTCTATCCAAAGCTCTCTCCCTCAGCTTGTTCATCGGCCTGCTGCCTAGCACCGGCTCCACCCACTTGTAGAGCGAAGTCCACACCACATTCTGCAGCAGCGTGCGCGGGCAGACCAAATCCTCCTGCCATCACCAATAGTGTAGTATACACACTTCAACAGGCAGACACACAGAGAGAGAAGAAACCCAATAAAGCAAGGCCTAGTTACAGACTAAGAGCATCCCCAGCAGATGCTCTATCCAATCTTCCATCTCAAATATAGCACATGGGAGGAGAAAATCAGGCTCCAGTAGATGCGCCATCCGAGCCTCCAAAGATAACGCATGCGCTATTCCGGAGAAAGAATCGGCAGATTTGGAGTTTCTCTCTCCTAACGCCATCCCGTAACCGCCGCATCCATCTGGTTCTCCCGCCCCAATCCGGATCAAGGCATGGAGGAGCGAAGGTAGAGAATATGCGCAGCGCTGCACGCCATGCCGTCGTCGCCGGCGAACCGCGCTCCGGCCAGATCCAGCCGCTCCTGTCGCTCCGCTGCTCGCGCCGCCCCTCCGCTCCCGCCGTCGGCCAGCCGCTTGCGCTGCTCGCCTCTCCTCCGCGCGGCGGCTCGCATCGCCCCGCAGCCCGCGCCGCCCTCCGCCCCCACCGCCTTTCGTACCCACCGCCCTCCACCCCCGACCGCTGGCGGCGCCCCTCGCCCCTCCGCTCGCGTTGCTCCGCCGCTGGAGAAGAGAGGACTGGAGAAGAGAGAAAGAGGAGAGCTCGAGAGGACTGGAGAAGAAAGAGAAAGAGAGAAGTAAGAGAAAGGTGAAAAAAAGAAAAAATAATATAAATGGATGGTAGTTGAAAGATACTAATAAAATATAGGATAATAAAATATAGGATGATATGATATAGAGAACGTAATATAAATGATCCGTTGGAGTGAGGAGGAATATAAAGGAGGAATCTTTTTTGGATGGCCATCTATATAGGCATATGGAGGATCAAATTTGGATGAGTTGTTAAGGCCTTGTTCAGTTCTCAAATTTTTTTTTCCCAAAAACGTTACATTGAATCTTTGGACATATGGAGCATTAAATTTAGATAAAATGAAAAACTAATTACACAGTTTGCATGGAAATCGTGAAACGAATCTATTGAGCCTAATTAGACCATGATTAGCTATAAGTGTTACAGTAACCCACGTGTACTAATGATGGATTAATTAGTCTTAATAAATTCGTCTCGCGGTTTCCAGACGAGATATGAAACTAGTTTTTTCATTCGTGTCCGAAAACCTCTTTCGATATCTAGTTAAACGTTCGATGTGACACCCAAAAAATTTTCTAAAGTCAGGTTCAATTCTTTTGAAGGGATCATTTCATTTTCCTCGTTCGAGTGTCTGATTACATTCTTCAACTATAGCCCGAGTCCGATTTACTCCCTCAACTTCCAAAAAAAAAAAAGGCCAATATTTATTTGTTACCTTGGAGCATGCGTTGCAGGCTTGGGCCCAGTCAATGGTGTGGTAGGGGTCCGTGTATATCTCCTCTCGCAGCGCCAGTATGGTTGGCGTGATGGGCCCCACGAACTTCTTGCCGTACAGATAGGCCATCGGCACGTACACCACGCGGGTCGGGCCCCAGAATTTGCCTGCAGATAAATAATTATGGCTCGTTAATTTTGCTATCATTTTTAACCTTATCTAATTTTTTTTACAAAGTTAAAAAAAATGGCTACATTTAATTTGTTGCCAAATTTTAATAAGTACATATAAAATCTTACCAAAATTTGACAACCTTGCTAAAATTTTGACAACCTTACTAAAATTTAGTAATGCTAAAACTTGGTAAGGTTAAAAATAGTAGCAAAGTGAACAAGTCTTTAGATTCATAACAAAAATAACGAAATATTATATTAAAGTTTCAGTCCCATGTTGACATTAAATTGTTGTATATACTGCTGTGTTTGGTATAGTGCTTCCTTCAATTTTTTAAAATATGACGTTGCTCACCTTTAATATAATATTTAATTATTCACTTCTTAAAAATTGTGTAAATATAAAAAAAATAGGTCATGCTTAGAGTACCTCTAATGATAAACTAAATTCCAACAAAGTAAATAATACATATAGTTTTCAAAAATATGAATGGTTAAATATCATATTTAAAGATTAAATATTATATTTAAAAGTTGTTAACGTTATATATTTAAAAATAAATGTAGTACAACTGTGCAATACATGCCTGGATGAAACGGAAGGAATTGTGGAGCAAGCCATAACTCGGGGAAGATGGGGTTGTTTCCTGACCACTCATACACTCCAATTATCTGCGATGAATCCAAACTTAAGTTGATCAAAATTAATTTAACTTCTTACTACTACATACTCAGAAGATGCCACGGTTTCTATATATATAATGCTCTGAACGGTTTGAACTGGCTACCGCCGTGCTACGCAACTGTAGTAAATAGTTGTAGAGCTATGCTGGCACCCAACTGACTTTGGCTTACTTCTTTTCATCAACTTCCTCATTTTTCGTTAATATGCTTTCCGAAGAGTTAAATGATATGTTTTATGTTAAAATTTCTATATAGAATTTTCTAAATCAAATAAATCTAAATTTTAAATTTATAATAGTTAATACATAATTAATCATGCGTTAATAATCTGTCCCGTTTTCCAATCCACGAACAGCTCCAATCAAAATGCTGGATCGAACTGTGCCTTAGCATGCCCTGAAAGTTTTGTTAAATATTAGGTACCAATACTGATATATAATAAGCCGTATAGCGTATTAGCTAAAAAATTAATAATTTATAGGTAAAACTTTTATATATATGTCATTAGTGATGTAAAAGTATATCTAAAAATAAAAATTAATAAAAAAACTTCAAAATCAATTTCAAAATCTAGTTTTAAAATTTGAATTTTAACGGCGGCTAATTTTATATAGGCAAACGATAAGAACCTTAATTGGTTGGCAAGATGTACTGATAATTAATCTAACATACATACCGACAGACATATCTTTCCCCATTGCGGAACAAGGGTGGCGCCACCATGTGATATGATCCAGGCGTGTCCTCTAGCTAATTGCTCATTGCTTGGCTCCTCGCCGATAAGTCTCAGGGTGACATAGTTTAAGCATGTGGCAAACATCGTGCTTGATCCCAAGATTAGCATGCCCCATCCCCCGTCCTCGTTCTGCACATGTAAATATAAAAAATGCAATGTTTCTGTACAACAATATTTAATTATTACTCCTTCCAATTATAAATATTTAATATTAATAAGATCTGGTCGAACTGACTACAATAATTTCTCAAATACTTAGTTTAAAAAAAATTATATGAGTAGATTGACCTAGAAAATTATACCACAATATCATAAATTTATTATATTTTATAAACTCATTTTAACATAAAACTGGTAGTCAAATTAAGTTTCAAAAGTTTTTGATCGAAACTTGTCCTATGCGTCAAACATTTATGCCTAGAGGGGTACATCAAAACTATATGTGCATATTGTTTTGTTTGAGCAAATTATTCGTGAGTTGATCAATTAGCACTTTCTGCATGTGTAGAATTAAGTAAATTAAGTATAACTGTCGTTCCAAACTATAGCAATATCTGGATGGAGGGAGCTAGAACTATCTTTTCTAATAAAAATCTATTAAAGCCATGAAGGCATGCGCATGGGTATATTTCTGAGTCCGCCTATATATATATAGCATTTTTTTTTAAGATGATGGACCTATATATATAAATAAATAAAAACCTGATGGTTATAGATGTAGCGACATATCTCCCTCCGGTGTTCTGATGATATGACAGTGTCCAGTGATCCAGTGGCATACAAAGAAAATATCTGCATACAGAAACTAGGTCACTAGAAATTAATCTCGAAATAATTGAACATGAATATTAATATTAATTAGCCAAAAAAATCAAATTAATACCAAGACAGGCATGATGAATATAGCACCACTGAGGTCGCCAGGCCAGTGGCCATCATCTGCTTGCAGAGAGGAGAACTCATCGAGAGCTCGCCTCAAGGAAGCCATCACAGTTTCTTCAGTCACCTGCTCCTTCTCGCCAAGCTTATTGACGGCCGGTGGAATACGATCACCACGGCGTTGGTGATTGTTTTCTCTTGCAAACTGCAACAAGATCATATCTCAGATGGTCAAACTAACATCGAATCGATCAAATGAAGCTAGCTAACAGTGATCCTGTTTCAAATTACATAAATTTCAGTTCAAATTAACACTATTAACTATATACTCCCTCCGGGCTGATAATACTTATCGTTTTAAAACAGAGTGAGATCAAACTTTAAAATATTTGATTATAAATCATTTTTAAAATATTTATTTTCCAAGTACGGTGAAAAGTACTTTAATAAAATCATAAAATCATATATTTGTTAACACTTTTATACATATTATAATGCGAATTATTTGGTCAAAATTGTTTTCTGTAGATGACCGTGTCCTTCTCCAAAGCGACAATTATTATCAAGCCGGAGGAGCACACAACACATACCTGCATGCGCATGAGGAGATCGGCGGACTCCGGGCGGCGGAGGCGGTGGTCGGTGAAGTCGCGGCGCACCCTCTCGACGTTGGCTCGGTCCTCCGGCGTGCCGTGGTCGGGGTCGAACTCCCACACCGCTCGCCCGGCGAAGCCGTTCGTCGACCGCAACAAAGCGCCGCCGCCCTGGGCCACCTTCAGCCTCCACATGATGTTCGCGATCGAGCACCAGCTAAGCTAGAGCCAACCAACGTACCGGACAAGGAGACAATGCAAAGACGACGACCAGCTATATCCAGTATATATACTGGCTGCCTTTTTATTAGAGCTACTGTGGGGGGCTTAACTACAGTATTTATTACAATACCAAACTGTGCCACTCTTCAAATAACACTTTTGGATTTGTTGTTACATATTTAGCAGACGGGAGAGATAAGACTATTTCTTAAATTTTTTTCTGCCACTTTAACTAACGTGGCACAACACGTTGACATGTCAGCGTGGTGTACACTAATATCTCTATCTCTAGCAGTTGGACTATCGGTATTAATTACTAGCAAATACTTCGTACTACTATATATTGAGGTGGTTGTGTCCAACGGTCCCAGACATGTAGTCCTAGTGATTGTGAATTTCAGACGTGACACTAATAAAAAGACACAATATATCTAGTGATTGGACTACCGGTATTAATTATAGCAAGTATTGAGGTGGTTGTGTCCAACGGTCCCGGATATGTATTAGAGCACCCCAACAGTTCATCCAAATTTGATCATCCATATGCACAAATAGATGGCCGTTTAAAAGGATTACTCCTTCGTATCCATTTTCACTTATTAAACAGATCATCCATATCACACCCTTCTATATTTCAGTAATATCTTTCAACTAACCATACATTTATATTATTTTGTAAGGACTATATTTTGAACGACTAAATTTTTAATGGTGTTATTTATTGCGTTAATATTTCAAAATAAGTAAATTTTAACAGATATATTTTTAATTAGTAGTTTTTTAATTGATATATTTGCAATGAATGAAATATTTTTATTTCAATTTGATGTGTTCAACAGCTAGCTTTCCAACGGCTAGCTCATTAAAATTGTGTCCAACGACCATGCAACATGTAAAATTTCAGCCCTACATATACCGCTACATTGCTTGCTGTCTTTTTCTCCATTCACATTGTTGTGAATCCTTCTTCCATCAATCAATGAGCTTCATTTTAATTTTAAGACATCTTCTGTTGGATGAGTCATCGTCATCTGACGATGAACTCATCGCTGCAGCAGCAATAGTTACACAAGATGAATATGAGCATTCGAATGCTCCACGACATGGTTTTGCTGTTCCTGGTAGTCAGGTTGTTCGTCGTGATCGTCGAGCGGGCCATATGATAGGCTGCACCACAACTACATCTCGGAGCATCCTACGTACAACCCAGTCTTATTCCAATGAAGGTATGCAATTAATCTACATATTTTGGTTGGTCCCGTTTTGTGTGCCACTTCTCTTAATTCACATAATCTTAAAAACAATATTCTTTAAGAAAGCTAGACGCTAACTCAATTAAATGATTACATAATCTTGAACCGTTATTCTACTTTAAGGTCTATTAAGAATTTGCTCATAATACCCATAGAACTTGTGAACTTACTCTTGAATGGTACCCCAATGATTGTTAATTGAATTATGGTTACGATCTGAAAGATAATTACTAAATTTATAATAGATGAAGTACTTTTCACAACAAATCTACATGTACTGTCTTCATAAATTCAGTCTAGGCATCATAAAAATACTGATGCTAAACTTTGAAAAAAAAATGGCCACACATGTGCTGCCGTGCTCTGAAAGATACTTGTGGGTCGAGTTAGTGAAACTCTAATAAAACAGCAAAACAAAGAAACAACACATGTATGCTTGATCACTTATTTCTATAAACAGAAGAATATACCGTGGATATCATTTTGTCGAAGTCCAAAACTAACAACTTGATCCGACTAAAATTAATGTATCAATCCCTGGATCAGTAGATGTTGATACATACAATATAACTAGTTCTTCATTGCATACGTTAAAGTTTTATAATACTAAGGGTTTTACAATAATAGGTACTCACCTATTTGATTAACTAGAATTAATATACAGCGGAAGTTTTTATACATTCTGACTAGGGAGGTAAAACCTTTAGGGATTCTCTAAATTATCGTGGTCATCGTAGTAATAGTCATAGGGGTCCTCCTCTTGACCCAAATCTTAAAAGGGGTTATGAGAGCAAGAATGAGTATTCACAATACTCAGCAAGTTATCATGGAAATATGTTATGCATTAGCATATAGCAGGGTTCTTTGCAAAAAGCAATAATAAATATTCTGGAAGAGTTATAGCAAGAATTTATAATCATATAGATTTTAGATTTCTAACCAGGGTACCATATGAGTCCTGGTACTCAACTCCATGAGTACGGCTATTCGAATAGTTTCAAAGATATTCTACTGCAGCAGATGTACGCTTTACCTGCAGTCCACGACTTGCTGATAATCATCGGCTTTAGTCAAGGCCCAGTATTAAGTTATTAACAATTGTGGCACCTGTTCCATGAACTTGTATCCTCATATGCCCTGAACGTAATGTTAATAGCAGCAAGAGGAGTTGTGGCGTTCCCGAGGTATTTAAGGGGAAACTGATCGTATGACACCACGTCATCTCGATCAGGGTTTAGAATTATACCATATAGTTTATACTCGAGTATCACAAACCATTTACCTGTACATGGTAATGGTTAAAAGTTGCCCTTCGCGGCTATAGTTGCCTCCTGCGCGAGGACTTAAAAATAAGAACCACTATACAGAGGTGCCATATTGCTAATTAACATAATAACTAGGTCTGTCCCCATTCTAGAAACTGCGGTCGTACCCGTTCGTTCGACATAAGTACCTAGTAAAACTTATATCGATCGAGACAGTACTAGCCACCCGGAAATCAACCAAATCTTACGTACTGTCCCAACCTAAGTATAAGGTATTTTAACCAGATTGTAAGCAAAATAAGCAATACTAAATTATCTGGGTTTCTATGATTGAATTATGCATATAAAATAGAATATTGAATAGAAGGCTATAAATAAATAATTTATAAAATATAGGCTTAAATGATCAAAAGGTATATAGTAACTTGCCTTGCTCGATGTCTTGAGATTGATTAATATTATTTAGTGAGTCAGAAGAATCCTCAAGACCTAGGGTTAAACATATAAAATTCAAATTCAAAAGGAATTCAAATAAAATCCAAAAATGGAGAAAATAAAATAAAATACAAAAATAGCAAAAAGGGGCTCAATAGATAGAGAATGATTTTAGAAGAATATTGGTCCAAGTTTCACTGGAATTGGATCTATATTTTGAAAATCAAATAAAAGTGAAATGGCACTGTGTGTGGGTCCCACCTGTCAGTCTCTCTCTCTCTCTTCTCTTCTTCAACCTCCGGCCGTTCCCCAAAATCGGTCGGCGGCGTTAGGGTTTGGGATTGCAGTGGCGCTAGAGGGAGCTAGGGATCTCTGGCGATGGCGAGCGGCGGCGGAGGAGCTAATTTGATGCGTGGACGGCCTAGCGGCTAGGGCGGCGGTGGCACAGTTAGGCCGTGATGGTGATCGAGGTGACGAGAGTTAGACATGGTTAGGGGAGGGATTCTAGAGCATCTATGAGGTGCCTAGATGGATTCCAACAGCTTGCCGACCTTTGGCAAGGCGCGGAGAATACTTGCCGACAAGCGCCTCCATTGGCGGCGGCCGTGCTCACGTCGGAAGCCCAGAGGGTGGCATGATAGTGCAAACCGATTGCAAAAATAGACTCTAGGTAGTATGTAGATGGTTGAAACGGAAGAACTCACCGAGATCGGTTGAAACGGCGGATTGCGGCCGGAAAAACTTCGCGGCGGCAAAGAACAGAGCAACGCGGGGGCGGCGGTGCTCGGCTTGGTGCGGCGAGGTAAAACTCGACGCAGGGCTTCGATTAGGGCTCACTATGCTAGAACATGGTTGATATAAGGTGTTCTAAGGGGTATTTAGGGCGGAGAATGGGTGGAGAGGTGTGGAGTCGATCGCGCACAAAGTGTTCGACCGACGGGCGATGGTGGTTGATGGGATTGATTGGCGAAGCAGAGCTTCGGAGTTGTGGGGTTATGGTTGTTGATGATCGATGATGGACAAGGAAGGGATTGGGGTCCTATTTATAGGGCTAGGAGGAGCGGATGAGCTCGGACACCGTCATCGCCATGGATGAGCTCAAACTTTGGATACGGCTGGGGCGGTAGAGGCTGTGAGAGGGTGGGCAAGATCAATTTGAGTGGCGGGAGGCCACGTTCGAATACTTACCGGCGAAGGATTGGCTTGACCGCGGTTGAAATTGGCTGGCGACGTGTTGGCGCCAATCCAGGCGCGACGCGCGGCGGCGGCGAGGGTGAAAATGGCTGGCTCAGGGGTGAATGGTTTGAATTGTGAGAGGGGAAACCACCGTCTATCTTCAATTCAACCGTGCGGCAAAAATTGGCGCGATTCACCCCGGATAGAAACAAAATCGCACTCGGCGGCGGCTTGGATGGGAGCGCACGGCGTCGAGTGTCGATTCCTTGCGGCGGAGGTCGTCCCGGCTTTGTCGTCGTCAAGATTGGTGTGGCAACGGCGACTTGAAGGCGTTGGACGGGTGACGGCGCGCCAAGACGATCGGGCACGCGCAAGCGGCCCCGAGGCTGACGCGCGGCGGCTCGGCGCGCGGCGAAGTCGGACGCCAGGGCGGCGCGCGCAAGGGGAGGAGAAGGTCAACTAAACCACGGTTTTTGAGTGGGATGTGGTCCCCAAGGATCCAACATAGACTTTGCACAAGATTGGGTGGTAATTGGGCTGCTCTAGCTGGGCTGGGCATTTTGTCGAGCACCTTCAGTGCAATGAACAGTGTTTTCAGGAATTTTTGAATATTTTCCTAGAAAAGAATGAATTTAATCTATGAATTTGGAAGAGTTTCACTAGGGTTTGAAGTATAGCAAATCCTCACTAATATTGGAGTAAACTAAGAAAATATTCTATAGTTTGAGATTTGAGAGAATTTGTTCAAATTCACTAAAGTTTGGAATAAAGGGAATAATTATGGTAAATTAGTAGGGCTCTAAGGAAGTAATACTTGAACCAATTAAAAAATCAAATAAATTTTTAAAACACACTAAATTAATCAAAAGCCAGCATGCTGCAGTCAAATTTTAATTTAAAA